CGGCTGCCCGTGGCCCACGTCCTCGGCTGGCGCGGCCGGCGGCGGCGACCGTGAGATGCAGTGAGCGGCGGCGCTGGGGCGCAGCCAGGCGGCCGGGCAGGCGGGGGCCAGGGGCTGAGCCCGGGCGAGCCTGCCGAGCGCACAGCGCTGCCCGCCGCCCCCGGAGCGGATCCGCAGCCGCTCCTCGACGCTCCCCCGGGTTCTAGCAGAGCCCCGCGGGGTGCCCGTCAATTTCCTCGGGTGACTACAGCGTGTTTTGTTTTTCTTTCTTCTTTCCTCTGTCTGTGTGCCCTTCTCCAGGATGGCAGAAGCGGAATTGCACAAGGAAAGGCTGCAAGCCATAGCAGTAAGTCCACTTTCATTTTATTTTCTTGCTCTATTGTCTGGGGTGGAAGGAGACCCCGAGAGGTTTGGGGCCAGCGGCATTCCAGCACAGTAGCCGCGGGATAGATGTCCAGGGGGTAAAAGTCTGTCAAGGCTCGGCTACGCTGGCTTTTCTTTTCTACTGCTGCAGATGGAAGCCCCCAGGGCGCGCTTTGGACTGGAGATTTGAATGTGGAAGGTTGGCTTAGAAATAAGATGCTTGCTGCTGGGCTTTGGGGAAAGACGAAACAGAGGCATGGGGGGTGGGCGACTCCTGGAATATTATTCTCCAGTTCCCAGGAATACGTTGACTTCATATCCTGAGAACGGAGAGGAGGGTGACCCGAACGGTGGCTGCTACCCTCTCTGCGGAAGCTGTCCTCCTGTTAAGTGGAAAACCAGGAGTCAGCGACTCAGCCAGCCACGCGGTAGAACCTCCTCCCAGAAACCGGGAATGTTAACTCCCCCTTCTCTGTTTGATATTGACAAGGGCACTGCCGCAAGCCACCACCCTGGAGGGGTCTGGGGACTTCTTGTAACAACTGGGTCCTGGGAATAATAATATTCCAAGAGAGCCTCCTTCTTATGGGTGTGGATTATCTGCAAACCTATTTTCAGCATACAAAGGAGCAACCAGTTTTGGCAAAGTTCATATGCACTTTCAGAAAAGTGTACCCATGTGCATCTTGGGTATAAGAAAGAACTCACTGAGCAATCTTGCCCACAGTGTTGCCAACGATCCACAGATGTGGTATTTTTACTGGAGCCACCACAGCTGGATTATATATTTCCTTGGAAGATGAGGGAATGATTGCTGCTATATGAAATAATAACAATTAAAAGAGTTCTGTTAACATACTGGCATAAAAGTATCTCCAGACATTCTTCCACCTAAATACACTTTTTTTTTTTTGTCTGTCCAGGAGTTCCCTGGAAACACATATAAGTTTGCTGGAGAAATAGTGTGTAATGTTTTGGAAGCAAAGTATATGGAAGTGCTTTTAAAAAGCTTTTTGGACAGATTCTTTTTAAAAAAAAAAAAGGATTTGATATGATCTCCCTCTTTCTCAAACTCTTCTGAAGTGTCTTGGAGACTTTACCACCGCAATGAGGGGTATGTTTGTTGGTAATGTTGAAATGCTATGGTTTGCCTATTGGGCAATCTTTGAACATGGTCTTCAGACCTCGGGAATGCTGGTTTTCTTTTCTTTCTTTTTCTCCCTGTGCATGTGTATTTTGATGGTTCATGAAGTTGTTCATGATTTCTAAAGTTGGTGGCAAGGCGGCGTGGCCGGAGTGTCATGAACTTGATAAGAATGGAGGTATTGAGTGGTTGGTGCCATGTAGCTGGTGGGTGTTTTGTGTAAACTGAATAATAGGCTGCTTCAACTGTTGATGAAGTGACTGCTCTGGAGAATGCTCAGTTGCCCCTACAGGCTGCTGCTGAAGGTTTCCAACAGTTGTCACATTTTCTGCCTTTGCATGATGGGTTTTTCTGGATGCCTGAGAAACAGCTGAGCCTTCTGAAAGGGCTTGCTTTTCCAATCATGGAGCCAGTGGCAGCTTACACTGGGGCCAGCCCTTTTTAAGTGGGGTTGAGTAATTCCAGCAGAGGCCAAGTAGATTTTCAGGAAAGATCTGGGCATCTTTGGTAATTATCTTGAGTGTATGAGAAGAAGCAACACAAATACTCACTCATGTCTCTTCAGCTGTGGAATTGAGTTTGCCTGATGAGCCTGGGTAGCTGCTGCTTATGACGGTGTCAGCATCAGTGCACCTGTGTAGTCGGCTCTGTATCTGTGGGATCTATATCCATGGGTTCAGCCAACTTGGACTGCAAATATTGGGGAAAAAAATGGATGGCTGTGTCTGTACTGAACATATACAGACTTTTTTCCTTCTCATCATGATTCCCTAAACAATACAGTATAACCAGCTATTTATCCAGCATTTATGTTGTCTTAGGTATTATAAGCAATCTGGAGATGATTTAAAGTTCAGGGGAGAATATGTATAGGTTGTATGCAAATACTCCGCCATTTTAGATCAGGGACTTGAGCATCCTTGGATTTTGGGATCCCAGGGGTTTCCTGGAACCAATCTCCCATAGATACCAAGGGGTGACTGTATGTTGTTGTCAGGACAGTTTTTCTAATTGTGGTATTACTATGTGGGGTCAGAGGAAAGAGACAGAGAGAACTAAGAGAAAGAGGGAGGTGGGGGGACTTGCAGCCACATCAGTAAATGGTTTTGTGCCATGCATTGACCTAATGCACACTTTCCAAATTTGACAAACCCTGCATCTCTTCACTACCTTTGGAGCTCTCCAGCCTGCCCCCAGAACCTAGCACTCCTTAACTCTTTCTACAGATATAAGGGAAGAAGAGAAGAAACCCACACATCTTCACCTACTTGAGCTTCTCTCTGAGAGTCAGGGCAAGTCAACTGAGATTCTAGGCTTCAGAGTCTTGGGCAATCTTTAGTCTGGGCTTCCTTCAACTATAAAATGGACTCTTGGTTCTACCATATGGGCTAGTTTTAATGTTTAGGTGTGATAGAGACGAAGCCCCTGGAACACAGTTGCCATCAGATGGTATGAGGCAGAGTCCTTTGTTCCTGTCTACACTGCTGCTGTGTCCTGTAGAGGTCAGAAGCAACATCTCTGAAGTGAAAAGAATATGAGCAATCCTTTTAATTTTTCCCTTAAACTCTGGCTGAAGCCAGGGCACCGCCCAACATCAATTCCTCTAACCATTTTAGACAGAGGCAGGGATTATGACTTGAAGATTCATTAATCCATTTGTTCAGCAGGTATTTATGGAGTGCCTCTTCCAGGAAGGTACCGGCAACACCAAAAAGTCAGCGTCCCCAAGTTTTAGCCAGCAGAGGGAAGATTTCACCCTTTGCCCACTTAATTTCTGACAGGACAGATGTCCTGTGACCTAAGATATTTGTCATATGATCATCTGTAGGATTTTCCCCCAAAGGGAGTTAGCTATTAGAAACTGCAGCACTTTGACTCTTCCAGTTGAGGCCAAAGACTAACCAGTGAGAAAAGATGCCTCTCATCCTATTTCCTACTAAAAGAAGAGCAAGTCCATCTTTGACGAGTATCTCTTCCCCCAACAGCCTCCTTTCATCTGTAGGAATGCTTTTAAAACTGTAAGTTTAGAATATAGCAAAATGCCTCTGCAATAGAATGAATGCAAATTCCAATCCTAGGGAATAATAATAATTGCCATTTATTGAACACTGTTCATTCAGCATGGCACAGTGTGAAATGCTTTTTTTTTTCACCTAAAGTTGTTTGTAGTTTAATGAAGGAAACTGAAAAGCACATAAACAATTACTATTCAATGCAAGGAGTACTGTGAAAATGAGCACACAGGAGGAACACGTAAACTACCCTCAAGGAGTTGTGAAACGCTTTTCCAAAGAGGAGACACTGGCGTTAGTCCTGAAGATTGGGCAAAATAACATTTAAAATAACATCACAACCTTCACAATTACCAGAAGACTTCTATTTATTCATTGCTTGTTTGTTTATGATTTATTTGGAACAGCCAGTGTGAAGAAGGGAAAGCCAAAAGCATGAAAAAGTTAAGTCAGTAGCTAATGACACAAATTTAGTAACAAGAGTGTGATACTTTTTAACACTCATTGTCTCATTTAATCCTAAAAACAAGTTTGTGAGGCAGGCACTGCTGCATTAAGCATATTTTATAGATGAACTGGTTCTAGACCTGGCCCATTATTAAACCAATAGTGTCAAAGACAGGATTTGAATGCTCAGTAAGTGCCACTGGAGCCCCAGTTTTGACTTCTGCCCAGAACTGCCACTCAAGATGGCAGAAGCATCTCACACTTTTCCCATGAGCACCCTGTGCAGGTGGGAGCAGCAGCCTCAGTGCCAGCCCAGGAGGGAGCAGCAGACAATTTTGTAGCAATGGGAAAGCTTGAAACAAACCAGAAGGCCCACATCCTTTTGAGAGTCTTCCATGCCTGAGTTCAGTGCATAGAAACACCCAACATAAACCAGACTCTGTGGCTCAGCCTGTAATCCCGCGCCTTTGGGAGGCGGAGGTGAGTGGATTGCCTGAGCCCGCGGGTTCGAGACCTGCCTGGGCAGCGAGACCTCATCTTTACAATAAATCAAAAAATCAGCCGGGCGTGGTAGCACATGCCTGTAATTCCGGCTACTTGGAAGGCTGAGGCGGAAGGATCGCTGGATCCCAGCAGGCGAGGCTGCGGTGGCCAGGAGCAGCCACTGCACTGCAGTCTGGGCGACAGAGTGAGACTCCAACTCAAAAAAAAAGAAACACCCAACATACACTTTAATGGAATGAGTAACATTCCCATGGTGAAGAAGCTGTTGTGTCTCAATAAAAAACAACTTTGAGGGAGGTTGTTGTTATGTTTGCACATCCAACAGTAGGGTAGTTTTCCTTGGGCATGAGTGAAAACAACTAAATGTTACAGAGATTATCTTGGGCAAAAATCATAAAAGCCACATGGACTCAGGCCAGAACCAGGGACCAACATGAGTGCATTTAAAAGTGCTGAAACAGGCCGGGCTCAGTGGCTCAGCTTGTAATCCCGGCACTTTGGGAGGCCAAGGCAAGTGGATTGCCTGAGCCCACAAGTTCGAAAGCAGCCTGGAAAACTTGACGAGACCTCGTCTCCACAATAAATCAAAAATTAGCTGGGTGTACCCCTGTTGATGAAATGCTGATCTGGCATACCCCTGTTCGTCAGGGAATTTTGTTATTTTTTAAGAACGCACACTGTGAAAAATGAAAATGATTTCTTATATTTGTACAGTGCTTATAATTATGAAAAACTTTGCGCATGCTACCTTAATTCTGAGACATGTAGGGCCGGTCGCGTTATCTCACTTTATAGTTGAGCATCCAAAGGTATCCAGGCTTACGCAGAAGATGTGAAAGAACTGTATTAAGTCCCACTCTCTCCTGGCTCCCAATT